GCTGGAAGTGAACCGGGACTGCTTACGGGGGGTATAGTGGGCAACGAATATGCCGCCACTGGCGTTTTCTCCTGGCAGATTCGAGACTCTTTCCCCAACGAGGCACAGAATCCACGCTCCCTCTGTGCAACACAGACAGTTACTCATCGCAAGCCAGGCCCACACACAATCACAGCGTACATTGGGCGTAAACCTTTAACTACGCCCCCAAACGCCCTGAACTATGAACTGGAAGTCGACGGAACTAAGATTGCAATGGGGGAAGTATGCAGTCCAAGAAACCCCGGCATGCCGTGCCGCTTCGCGGCTGTGAACGGGGAGAAGGTGTACGATATGGTTCAGCTTGTCCTCAACCTTGGGCCTGGCGATTTAGGGCAAAGGAGCCTCTCGATCTGCGCAAGTTACACTGGTGAACAGAGTGCGGCGGATGTGCTTCTGTTGGACAACGTCAGTGTTTTGGCACCAGCGTAGATTTGAGCAGAGACTGGATGAAAAGGGCTTTAATCGAGAGAATGAAAATCTATCCCTGGCTTTCTAGATATTCCTTCACTTGATTAGAGAGTTGATTCTCCGCAGTTCTGCCAGCATGTTTACATAGATAAGAAACACTGGCTTGGCATTTCTTCAAGAAGGGTTTAAAAGCTAATTTAGAAGGACTGGTTTCCTGTCTTTGCTGTATTGGGCTTCGCTTGCTTATGTCTCTAGCTGCAACTTGCATGGAACTGACATTATTATCAGCTTCAAAGTCGAAATAAAGTTAACACTCGAGGAGCCAAGTATGAGATGTCGATCCAGACACTAGTGACGAATATGTACCGTGGATGCCTGCTGTATCTCCCGCCGATATTCAACCTGTAAGGGAACTCTTGACAGACGCCCCGTATACGCCTCAGCTTTGTCAAGCTCTCCAAATCACACTGCATGGCCCTTTGCATGGGCATGAATCACAATTCAGAGCTAAGCTGCTCTGGCACATACTTGGCACAGTAATAGATTTCCCTGATTGCTTTAATGATAACTCCTCTAGGGAATGCCTCTGCCAACCCAGCCTATTGAGACGCCTTCATTCATGGCAATTACTTGTATAAAGTTAGGCCCGGTGACTAGGCACCGTCTTGTTCCCGTTATTCCGTGAGTCCGTCAGGGCGCCGTCACACAACTCCCTAGACTATTTACAACGTGACTCGCGCAAGGTACGAAACGATTAAACTCTGATCATTAGATTCCCATGCTGACAGACCTATCAATGCGCCCCCCGCCATCAAGGGATCCTGACACTATCGCCAAGGTAGCCACCGCCACGATCTGGCTGCAACTCTCTTCGGCCATCGGCGCTTTTCCATCGGGCTTTTTTAGTGTACCACACACAACTTCGATGCCTTGTGAGGCCTGGATGCATATGTTCTGGCTATGTTACAGGAAACAAAGATGATGCACGAATAGGTACTACACATCTTAGGAATTTTCAGACTCAAAGCCATCGACTCAACGTCAAAAGGTTCCATACTTCTTGAATCAGCCTCAGTTTCTGTCGTCGCCGTTAGTGGATTCAAACATCGCTTCTCTGAGATCGTATCGTCATCAATGCAGCATTAGCTTGTCGATACGAATGAGATACGGCTTAACACTGCTTTCCATTTTGGGTCTCAGCAACTCAACCAGACCGATCCGATGGAGGCGGAAGGAGAGCGGAATTCTAGGCACAGATCCCGTGCCTAGTGCCAAATAGTGAAACGGATGGACTGTTCCGGGACTGTGTACTGAGTAGGTGGGCGTGTACACAGAAAACACTCTCAAACCCCATTGACGTGGCAGTCACGGCAATATAGGGTGCCGGAATGTTTTCGGGCCAGTAAAGCTTCCAATCTTGAACTTCAGGGTTTCTTCGTTTGCCGTATGCGTTGTGCAGATCAATGATATCAGCGCCCGGCTCACCTCCTCCCTTTGGATTTTTCACGTACCAGGCGGTCACCATCCCCCGCACGTTCGCACGTGGACTGCATTGGAGAGGGTGCTTTCACGTGGAGTTCTCCGGCGCGGCAAAGTCATCCGAAACTGTGCGGGTCCGATGAATCCTGTTCAAAGCGGATCTATCTAACAGACGTTCTCGATCTTCACGATCAAGCCTCGCATTTATCTTCCGCCAATCATGTCGATATCATGAGTCGTAAGGCTACCATTCAGCCACAAGTCCTTTTTTTCGCCCATTTGCAATTGTGTACGAACAGCAAATTGATTGTGGTTCGTGGCGCTCCAGTGTTACCTTATTTCAGCTACCAACTTGGGTCGGAAAAGGCTCCGAGCGCTCGCGGAAGCTTTGGACTACTGTAGCTGATCTGTCAAAAGAAAACCTTGCATTGCGTGCCGCGCACGTTTCAGGAGCAGGCTCGAAGCCCAATCGTTCTCATTGGATACACCGACAAACCTTCTTTTACTGCTTGCTTATCAAAAGAATGGCCCTTCAAGGCCAGGATTATTATGCACAAGAAGGCTCTCTTACCTTCAAATGCTGACGGATAGGTATTCGTTCTCGACATTCCTCAACCCTCACATTTCTGCCTCAGGAGTTGATGATGATGGAACACGTAGAGCCAGCGGATGTTCCCCTTGCGGGCAATATCATCTCGGTGATGCTGTCTATGTTCACATTTGGAGTTCTGGCCGTGTGCTTAAGTACTTTCATCAATCCTCTTGATAAGATTTGTCTATACTAACCGGATATGTAGCACGAAGACTTCAGACCATCAAGATGTGGAAGAAGATCCCGCTGGCGAGTTGGTGTAAGGCTGTTCTCTCACATGCTTCTAGCCTTCATTGACATTCTGCAGTGCTTCTTATAATCTATGTTGACTCGACACTCTTCGTTTTCGCCTCCGCCGTAGTGACCAGAGGATTCGGTATAAATGAATCTGAAGGGATATGCGAGGGAGCTATTCTACTATGTACGTTCTCAACCTACCAAGCTCAGCCTGTCCAAGCCTAACTACTAACACGAATCAGGCCTCATCTGCTATATGACTACTAAGGTTCTAATCTACTACTTCCTCGTGGAAAGAGCGGTATGTGGAACTAAGATGTCCCAGGAGCATAATCTGACCAATTCAGTACATTATTCGTGGAAGCCGTCTCCCGAGGATGAAAACCAAGCTGTATGTCTTTAACTGCTTTGGCATGATCTGTAAGACTTCGAAATACATCATTTACAGATGTCTCTCTAATAGCTGGTAGTGCCTTATTTGGTCATAATTGTCATGAACTTCGTATGGTATGTCGACCATGAGAGGTGACTATTGGATACCACTCACATCAATAGGCGCATCTCGTATATTAACGACTCAGGAGTTTGCATCATCGGTATGCAGAAGATAGCAATGATGCCACTGATTACATTTGACGTTGTCTTGAACGTCAGTTTGCTCCATTAGCACCGCGTATCACAAACTCACCTTGTCATAGGTCTACCTTACTATTCTCTTTATCATTCCTCTCAGACAACTCTACTCATACCAGCATAACACCAACCGCGCTCTTCGCACAATGGCTTTACGGACCTTTCTTGGCAGCTGTGCAACCCTAACGTCCTCCGTCGTTAATCTCACAATCCTGATGGTTCTGAAAGGCGAACCCGGCTGGATCTGCCTTATGTGCTGCAATGCCGACATCCTGTTCTGCGTACTCGTCCTTCATTGGATCTCACAGAGAGAGTCCTCCAACATATCTTCCTCGAACGGCTCACAACCAACAGCCAACAATGTTAATGGTAGTGCTCATGGCACCATGAATCGAGACGGTCTCGCAAGTCCTGGTCAATGGCGCGAATCGATCAGCAAACGGGTCGACGGCGTACTCCAAGAGCCCAAGAAGGTCCATGGCGGTACTATCACAACAGAAATCAAGAGCATGCCACATGGTATGCACGATGAGGACCCCGATAACATCGTGGAACTACATCAGATCCGGGTACACACCCAACAGATCCAAGAGATTGAGATTGATGGAAGAAGCGAGAGTGAACTAGTTGGAAATGCGAGCGGATTCGGAGGGAGATCTTCGAGCTCGGAAAAGATGGTTTGATTCAACATCGGACCAAACACCACCTGGGCACTCACATTTCGAACCTCACTTGGTATAACTTTTACATTTGCACGGTGTTTGGATTGCGGATGGGTTAGGACATTATATGATACCTTGGGTGGATTTGTGAAATACTTATTAAATTCTACTAAATATTTGGCTTTGGTTTTGCGTACATATTACACAGTAGACCTGAAACTACTATACTTCTACAATCTTCATTTGAATGTTTCACTCTAGCTATTATCACTACCCTCGCATTCTTGCACTTATTTCCCGATTCTAGACTCTAGTACAGCGACATATCCTCCACGTATCCGTACAAACGACAAGTCTCTTTCTCACCAGCACATGAAGTCTTGTTCAGATCGAGTTTGTGATTATTGATACGGTTTAAACTTAAATGATAGATATAGTTTGTCCATTTGTTTGCAGGTCATATATATGGTGCGTTATTCTACTTATGCATCCCCCCCAATGCTGGCCAAGTAGGAACGGACTTGGATTTATTTTTAAATCAAGAGATCCATGTGTGTTCTGATTGATATCAGGTATACGCAACTGAACATATACGCCTGTGCGTACATTCTGAATAGAAAAATGGTTGCTTAGGTAGCCCATGGCATTTTCTTAATTAAGTTCTGCTCTATATACCCGTCACTGACGAATTTCATCCTAAAAGGATGAGAGACCGAGATTGATCAAAACAAATGCTGAGTGTATCAGTATGTACTATGGAACAAGTTCCCGAATGAGAATTTGCTTGGACAGGTAGAACGTATGTGCAACGATTCGGAGACTTGTCTTGGCCGCGCTAGCACATTTGGGCGAGTTGGGCAGCGCTCCACCTCGATGAATGACCACGCCCCCACGCCACCACGCTACCACGAGCTATTGGAAAGCAAAAAAAAGAAGTTTTAAGATGACTCTCCGACGGGGAATCGAACCCCGGTCTGTGATAAGTTAGTGAATCGCTCATTATGCTGAGTCCAGATCGTAAACATACCTCCCGCGCTTGTTAAGTTCAATAGTGAACAGTGACAAGCGGAAATCATGACCACTAGACCATCGAAGATATTCACTTGATTAGTGAGATGGTTGTTTGATGTGAGATTAGGTTCTTAGAAAATTCGTATCAGGATAAAAATGGAGCTGCAAAACTTGCAAATGGAAGAAGAGGGGCAGAAACAGCAGCAGCGGGGCGATGAGTACGCTAGTCTTTTGCATATGGCTAACACGGTAATTACTTGCATGATCCACCACTAAGTATGCCACTGTTATTGGCTGGGTGGACTGGGTGCGGGTGCTCGCGGAACCAACACTGGCTCAAACATCTTCCCCACTGCAACATCATGCTCGAATGAGTTATGTGTTTGATACTTCTACAATTGTATTCCGGTGTCCTCTTATTTTCTCGATGAATATCCATTTAAATTTTTCTTCATTAATTTTCCCCCCTGACTTATCCGAGCATCTACGCCGTGAAACATAAAAACGCCGAAGACCAAGGGCCTGCTCGCAACTCGGTAAACTTCCAGCGCGGGGCCCATGCCCTGCTTGGCAAATGTTCAAACAGGCGTTGGATGATTTGCCTAGTGCTGGAGTGTGAAGGTAGGTGTTGTCTATACTTATCTAATCACCTGATTTTCCACACCGATAAGGGCATCAAATTTATTAGTACGTTGGTACAGCTGGATCAATTTGTCCGAGATTTTTTTCTGATGGTTAGGTGTAGCGTTGGACGTTTCCAAAACTCCAACTGGGACACCTCAATATGAACTTACGCCAGGTAGAGCACTTCTTCACATGTGCAAACATCTCGACCGTTTCTTCGAGTATATCACTCCATTTATCACGAATTTATATCACTACTGACAGTCGCAGCTGGTAAATGGACAGTTTGCAAGGATTGATGATCAGCAAAAAAGCGAAGTCCATCGCAGAGATCCAATGCTGAGGCAAGTCCAGGATTGCAGCATCCTCCAATTATCCGTACTCAAGCTAGCCACATTTTCATCAGTCACACCTGCAGGCTCAAGATATTTCATCTGAGCTGAAGGTAATATGCCGTGATAAGTAGGACAAGCTGCTATGAATAGACTTCTCCAACCTCGCAATCTTGACAATTGCAGATGCTTTTTCCAAGGGAGCTAAAACAAGATGCAAACGCTCACGCGACAGCGCTCCACAAAAGAGTTCTTCACGGCTGAAATGAACGATAGGCTATCGATATAATTCCTTATCGAATTAAAGGGTCGTCTCTTTCCCTCTAAACAGTTTCAAAACACTATCTAGCTGAACAAGCCAAGAGCGCCAAGGTGAAACACATCTCAGCGCTTAAACCAAACGAATCCTCTCCCAACCTCCTCATCACAAGAATCGCGAAATCTCCATCGTGGATGCATCGCACGGGGCACTTCGTTAACAATTTCCCTATTCTCCGAGTGTGGGTCTGGACCCCTTCGCTTCATCAGGCAACACAAATACCCCGTTTCGCACAATGCGATGCTTCAAGCCAATGGCTTTATTACTGATCGATTAACCTCATCCTCAGGCGCCGACATCTTTCCTCTTTCGTTGTATTCGTGATTCTTGGCAGCCTTGCTCAAGGACTACGTACCAAGCAAGTATTTCTGATCGCATTGCGATGTCGCAGATTCGGGTTCTGAGACTCGCGCCCGTGAGGTCTGTGTTTGATGGTGATTAGGGAAGTTGTTTGTCTCGATGCGCAAGAAACACAAAAGCGCTGTTTATTATCAGTCGTAGTATAAAGGTAAACGGAAGTGTAAGATCTACGAGATGGATCTATTCATTCAGTAGCTCGCTCGCAATTTCTTATCTTCAATCTTTCGTCTCTTTCGTCTTTCCATTCGTTCAGCGTGCGCGATTGATTCGTGCCATTCCTTTCTTTCTTCCAAATCTACAATCTAGGCAATTGTTTCATCGTTTCGCAGTTTGTTCTATACTACCAAAATGCTTACTTCACTCTTTCTTCCCACTCTTGCTCTTTTCACCCCTCTCATCCATGCTCATGGTAAAGTTGTCTCTGTACGTGGAAATGTAGGAGGCAATGGCACTGCACTGGGCATAATCGGCAACATCGTACCGGGAACTGGCTCTAACGATATCACCGAAGTTGACACGACTGTGTTCAAGAAGACTGATATCTCGACTGATGGATTGGGGAAGACGACTCGTGGGGGTGAAAATAGGATCGAGGGGTTGTGGCTTGCGAACGGATTGAGTGGAGGGAAACTACCCCAAGTCAGCGCGAAGGGTGGCAGTATCGAAGGAGTTTTCCATATTGTTACAACGGTAAGTGTGGGTTTGATATTGAGATGGTACGTTCAATAACGATTTCGTTAGGATGGCGCAGGACCTGTACGAGCAATTATCGATCCCGGCGCGACTGGTGCGTTTTCGAATGGCATTGAAGCTAATGTGACACTTGGTAAGTTGTATCATTCATGTACTCACCACTCCATCTCACAAATCACAGATGTTCCAGGCAACAAAGGCAACATCAAACCAAATGGCGTAGTCCCTCGAGACTTGGGATTCTGGAGCCTTACCAAGCGGGCTGGCGCGAAGAACGTCAATTTGGATTTTCCGATGAAGATCCAGATTCCAGAGGGCACGGCTTGCAATGGGTCTGTGGGTGGACAGGAAAACGTATGCTTCCTAAAGATTGCCAACTGTAAGTGGAGTTGTTCCAGTGAACGCTTGTGAGTGCATGAGTAGGCTAATATCTTGTAGCGAATAAAGCGGGTCCTTTCGGCGGCGTGGTAGCGTTCCAGATAGTGAACGGTACGGGTAACAACGGAACCATAACGAAGATTGAAAAGCCGGTGGCGAAGCTTTTCAATGCTTGAGATGTCCAGAGAATTGCGTTTTACTGAATCAACACTTGTTGTATCATAGGCTCTGTTGGGCGTTCCTGTTGTTGTTGTTGTTGTTGTTGTTGTTGTTGTTGTTGTTGTTGTAAGAAGGCACATGGTGTTCAATGAGTGTTAGGCAAATCGTCATATTGATACTACTGCAATCTCACATGTGAACTAGCTATGATCACAGATAGAAGCTCGGATTCAAATGTTTAAAGCATATCTTTGGTATACTCATCAGGATAGAGAGAGTATTTATACATGCGGACTCCGACGATGTAAATTCTGCTAGTTGGTTATATCCCTTTTTGCCGACAAAGTAGACTAGACTAGGCAACACCTTGTTCAATCTATAATTCCAGATGATCTATCATATCAAAATTCCTCTGCGACGAATTCTGACCTTTGGTTGAAGGTACAGATGTAGAGTGCGATCGCCTCTGTGGAAGATCCCGAAGAATGTGACTGATTATTAAATCCATATGCGACCAACTGAACATTGTCCATGATTCCGAGTAATGTCTTATTAGACCATGCATCTACGCCAAATCCGAGGACATGGCCTTGATGCGAGATTTTAATGTTGTGTCCGATCTCTGAATTCGGGCGATGGTCTTCTCCCCAAAGAATGGGATGCTATCTCGATGATCGTCTGGCGTGCTTCGAACGGGAGAGGCTATAATTGATAATAGCCTGGCTTGATAAAGGCCAGCCGTGTTGACTCGGGTTCTTGTTCCTCACAATATCGCTGACTGGATGTCTCTATGATTGTCCCTTTGGGGGGAAAATTGACTCTTTTCTCTCTCCCTCTTTAGTGACGCGGATGAACTTTAATGTTGCCAAACTTGCCCACTGACCATTCCAGCTCTTTAGTTTTTCGAGATTTGCCATGTCCTCGAGGTCTGGCACCCAGAACCCCGAAGCATATTCGCCTCGCTCTGTGGCCTGAATTTGTTTCAGCAGAGTCTCGCGCGTACTTGGTGGTCGTCCGGAGCGGCGTTCCGCTTGCAGTTTGGAAAGTTCTTCATCTTCTCGGCCCAGGTAGTCTTCGATCATGCGCTGAATCTCGGAAAGGGTGCAAGGGAGTGTGTGTTCGACCGTATACGACTGGAAGGACTTGGTTCGCAAGACTAGAAGAACAGTCAACTATGCCGGTGCGCATTAGACTTGTTGGTGGCATACTGTATGTTTTGTTCTGCTTCTCGCGCACAGCAGCCAGTCGATTGAGCTTATCGTCTCTGGCACTGGCACTTTCGAGTCTCCTTTGGTCACGGCTGTTCTCGTGCAGCGCAGTCCCCCTGCCCTTTTTCTTCGCAATGTGCTTCTGCACCTTCCCAAAACGATTGCTGATAGCTGGCATTTCGAGAGTTTTTCAGGGTTTATGTGAGATAATCGAGAGTTAGGTTGTATTGTTCTTAGGTGGATTGAGTGAAGCCGTATTGTCTGAAGTTGAAGTCTATGTACAATACGATCTCCAAATTTTTTGGTGGGGCTGGCACGTCCGTCGACCTATCGTGGAGCCTGCCGCCACCCAAGGGGGCGCTGCTCTCTTTGTGGCTTTGCGCCTTCCCGCACACCGCTGGGCGCGTCCTGCCTTGCTTTGCACGCGTCAGACGAAGTCACTTCTATTGTACAATAGGCGCGCCCGTCTTCATCTACTTCGTCTTCTTCTCTATTATATATTAGCGAAATCTTCTTCTGTTCAACTTTTTCTTCCTCATCTTCTTCGTCTTTTCCCTCCTTCTTGCCCACTACAGAATGCTCTCCTAACGGACCGACCCAACCAAAGGCCGTTGTTTGGGTGCAATCTCGCCCTCAGCAATTGGATACAATGGGAATCTCAGGTAGGTGCATCGCCACATACCCCACCCCTCCAATGCCTTTCCCTCACTCCCATGCCCTTCTGTTCTTTATGTACCACTAGTACTAACCCGCAGTACAAAAGGTCTTCTTCCCCTTTTGAAATCGATCCACAAGCCGTGCAGCCTGAAGAAATTCGACGGCCAAACCATCGGCGTCGACGCCTATGGCTGGCTTCACCGAGGGACTGCGGCCTGTGCCATTGAGCTGGCTACGGACAAGCCAACAACCAAGTAAGTCCTTTTTTTATTTACCTCCCATTTTAATTCATCTAACTGGCGGTCAGGTTCGTTGACTTCGCTATGAACCGCGTCCGTATGCTCATCCACTTCGG